GCTATGAGGCCACCACCGTTGGAAATCTTACTTCTGGGGCTTCATTTTGCACTCAAGAATCTCCTAAAGCCAAGTCCGGGTGGGGGAGATATGATTGGTTGAAGTTGAGCATCATCCCGGTTGGATCGAATCTGCGCGGCTTCACCAAAAAGGGCATAACTTTTTGCACATGAGGAATTTTAATGCAAGGTTTGCGCCATTGGAAAGATAACTTCCGGGGCTTCAATCTAGACAGCCATCGGCCACTTTTTGACCTTGGCAGCCACCTATCGGCCATCTATTTAGCCGGTCGTCCAGAAAAAATAGCAGGCCGACCATTTATTGTGCCGACCGGCCATTTATTTGGCCGATAGCCTCCTTTCGTGGCCGGTTTTACCCTTTTGCACCCTTCAGGCATGGTGCATGCCAGCTGTGCCAGCTGGGATGCACAAACCCTCTCCCCCGTGCATATGTGTGGCTATTTTGAACCTTTGACCCCTTTTGATCCAAACTTTTTGCACCCTTTGATCAAGCTTCTTGAGGAAGCTTGACCCTTTGTCAAAGCTTCCTCAAGAAGCTTGCACCCTTACCTTAGCTTCTCTAGGAAGCCTTGACCCCCTTGACCCTTCTCATTTAGCTTCTCTAAGAAGCTTCAAAGCTTTCCCTTGTCTATATAAGAGACCTCCCTTCTCCTTTAATGGGGTTCAGCAAAAAACCAGAGCTATACACATATATATCTGATATATATCATCCTCTCTCTCTATATCTCTCCCTCTCTCTTCATTTTGTGTGTGTTTAAGGGCCTAAAGTGTGTGTTTGTTCTTAGTTTTGCACTAAAACACATAGCATTACACCTTACTTCGACTTTGAGAGACATTGAGGGTTTGTTCTTGAGGTTTTGGACTGATTTTGGTCAGAAGAGAATGGCTGGGCCTGCTGTTCTTGAAGTGTTCTTCAAGGGTAACACTTTTGCTTTATTTTCCCCAATCTTGCATTAGCTTTTGACCTGTCTTACATGCTGATTTAAGCTTTGTGTATAACATAAAAAAGTTCTGTTTTTTTGTGTTTAAGATAGTTCATTAAGGTCACTTTTGTGTTTGGGGTCGTTTACCCCCTCTTAGGCCTTGTTTGGCCCCATTTTGTGCTATTTTTGATGAGCTCCGGGACCACCTTGTTTGGGCCTCCTCACCACTGAAATCTTGAGGGATTTCAGTGGTGAGGATGGTGATTTAAGGTCCTAAGAAGGAGAGGGCCATCCCCTCTCCTTGTTGTCTTGTTTGCTTTTATTTTTGGCCTTACAAAGGGGCCTATATTTGCAAACTTTTTGAGCTTGGTTCAGGCATTTTTCAGGGGGTTTTAGGACCCCCATAAGCCATTTCCAGAGTTGTTTTGGTCATGTTGAGTGTCCTTCTTGCATGTGTAGAGTAACCCTCTTATTGGCCTTTCAAAGGAGCATCTTATTCTTGCATGTATTGGACACATTTCAGTGGGTATTTGGTCATATTTTGGCATGCCTTAGATCTGTTTTTGCTTGGTTTAATGGTCTCTCGCATGCATCATATGCTTGCTTTGCAATCCTATGTTTTGGCCTAACATGCATCATGTTGTGAGATGACATTTTAGCATGATTTTGGTTAGGTTCCAAGAGGGTTTTTGCACTGTTTTGCCATGCTTAAGGTCTGGTTATGGTTGTTTTGATCATGTTTGCCATGATTTGTATTGTCGTCTTGCATTCTAGCTTACTAGCCTTGGGTGTGTGGGTCACTAGTATGCTTTACTTGGCTTATTCTCATGATTTGGCATCATTGGAAACCACATTTCAGTCCATGTTCCATGTTTGCATACTTGCATTTTCCATCCCTTTCATGCCTTGAAGAGTTGATGGCTTACGCTCCATGTTTAGGCCCTTGTTGATGCATATTTGTGTGTGTGTTTTCATGCCTTTGTTGCATCATTTTGGCCACTGTTTTAGGTTTGTTTGAGAGCTGCCTAAATTAGTTTAAGTCCACCCCTTTGCCTGTTGTTGCATGCTCACCTTGTGTGTTGTTGCATACTAGTGTGTTGTTGCATGATTGAATGAAGCCACATGCTTGCTTGCATGCTTGAACATCCATATTGTGTCTTGCATACTTGTAGGTTGCATTGCTTCATGCCTTACATGCTTCTTTACTTAGGTTGTGTGCCTAACCTACATTACACATTGCATTGCCATGTTGCATACTAGCCTCCATACCTAGGATGCATTGTATTGGCATGCATGCTTCACCTCTTGAGTTGAATATGATAGAGGTTGAGCCCCCTTTGCTTGATTATGTGCATTGCATTCCATATCAAAATGCATACCTGGTTCCTTGGGCCATCATGCATGAAAATGCGCGATTGGTGGTCCGAGAATCGAGAATCATATCCCTTTGAGTCATGAATATGATAAGGGGTGTGATTGGTGCATACATTGCTTGAAATGCATTGCCATGCTATGTTTTGCCCTCAGCTGTTGTCAAAAACAGATTCTGCAGGAAGATTTGGCCAGCCGGCCATATGCAGTGCCGACCGGCCATCCATAAGCAGCCAATGGATTAATTTGTGGCCGGTGACCATTCTCCATGGCCGGTGACCAATTCCCTCAGCCGGTGGTGTTCCACAACATTCAGGGAAGCAACCCTGAGATTTGTGCAGTCTTCAGAGAAGCAGAACAGTCAAAGCAGAGGCAGCTTGTGCATGGCAGTGACTTTCGAGCGGAATCGAGCACGAATCGCATCAGACCCTCTTCCCGAGGCTTTTTATTGCTTAAATTAGATTAATTAATTTGCTTAATTAATTAGGTGGTCTGTAATATTTAATTAGCTTGTTAGTTAGTTAAATTGTATTATTCTTTCGGTCCCTCCGAGTGAGGGCTAACTTCTAATAAGTGTGGGTGCGTGTGTGCATGTCTTCCAACCCCCACTTCTTTTTTCCTTTTACTTACCTGCTTTTGATGGTTAGTAGTAGGGCATATTTAAATTAGCATACCTTATGCTATGCATGCGTGCATCCATGCATTTGTCCTACATGCACCGGGCTCGGTACATCATACTAGGTTTGTTTATTATTAGTTTATGACCTTCTTTTTCTTTCCATTGTTGGTGCACCCTTCTTGTTTCTATTCCATCAAAGGAGGTGATACGGGAGACAAATAAACAAAGTGAAAGACAAAAATAAGTGAAGGTAATAGCTGGGGTGAGAACAATTAAGGTGAGTTGACTCGTTGCAGCTGTAGGTTAAAAGCAAAGATCAGAATTTCGTGAATTCATGCTAATCCTGCTAGGAGGTTTTTGGATTGTCCAAATTATGGAGTAAATTCAATTAGCAATTTTTCAGTATTTATAGTAAATTAACAACAACAAAAAATATCACTAATTTGAAGAAGATAATGGAAAAATTACATGAACACTTGCTCAACTTTGTTTGTGTTTGCTTGCATTTACAGAAAAATGAGACTTGTGGTTTCTTTTCCTAGTACGATCCACCCACATGTGCTCGTAGTAGACAAGTTTTTCCAAGGTTGGTGGATAAGGTTGCAGCCCTAGAAGAATTTGTGAATTGGGTTGCATGATTGAAGGATGTTGTTCAATGTTATCATGCATGACAAAAGTGTCTTGTCATTGCTTTGATTGCTACATTAATTCTAAATGGACTGTTTCTACTCCAAAATAGTTGAAGGAAAACATGTGTTTAGGCTTGCTATGTAATTGATAATATGTGTTTTGGCTTGATACATTACTTCCAGAATATGTTTTGTATTTGCAATGCTCTTGTTCAACAATGGCAATGCCAACTGTGTTTGCAATGAAATGATAAAATGGTTTTTTTTTCAATTGTAATGTATTTACAATGTGTTTAGTTTACTTCATTCAATGGTTGTGTTGAACTTAGAATACTATTGATGAAAAAAAGATGTGTCGCATAACAACCACTTCTTCATTTCTTTGTACAATTTTTTTTCAAAAAAAAAAAAAAATTGAAGCATAACCTGGTTTAACATAAGCATAATAGCCATTAAAGCATAAGAACTTGTTTTTTGGCCACATGAAGTTACAACATAATTGAAGCTAAACAATCATTGCATAACGATCCTTCAAGCATAATAACCATTCAAGCATAGGAACCTGATTTTTTTGCCACATGAACTTACAACATAATTGAAGCTAAACAACCATTGCATAACAACCATTCAAGCATAAGAACCATTCAACCATTGCATAACAACCAGTCAACCATTCAATCATAATAACCATACAAGCATTGTTCAAGGTTTCATACACCAAAAATGGTTGCATAGCCCATAAACCCAACAAAAAACTTTCATAACCCATAAACCTAACAAAAAGTAACATATGTACACCATAATTGTTGAAAAAGTGTTCAAAACCCCTGTTTTAATTCCAAAAGTGTTTGAAAACCCTGTTTTAATTCCAAAAGTGTTCGAAAATCCTGTTTTAATTCCAAAAGTTTTCAAAACCACTTGTTAGTACTAGACTAGCTGCCTATTGCTTGCTTCTTTCTTATGGTTGATGTCATCTTCCTTGGATGTCCATCATTTGCTGCTTCGCCAACACTAATTGTTGCTCCTGATGTTGTCCTCTTCTTTTGTTGCCCATCAGTTGATCCTCCAACACCACTTGCTGCTACTGCTGGCCTCTTTCTAGATTGGCGACCATCAGTTTGTGCTTGGTTGCTCCCATCTTCCCCTAGTAACACAACTGTCCTCAACCCCATGAATGTTTGTAAAAGAAGTGTTGTTATTAGTAACATGTGTAATTTGTTAGTAACTAAATGTTTCTTTAATTAAAGTTAATGGAGTACTTACACTAATATTGGATTTCCCAAAAGGTCCACTTTTTTTTCCTTTCACAGGACCCTTACAAGTCCTTTGATTATGACCATAACAACCACATTTAGAGCAATTCAAGGTAGACTGCCTCCTCTGTAACTTGTATGGATTCTTAGGTTCATCTGTGTTCCTAACTCTCTATCTTGGAGGCCTACCAGTTGGTCTTAAGTTTGGCAGTTAAAAGAGGATCACACCCTGTTTTAGGCCACATATCTAGACCATTCAATGGATTAATCAATGGCTCATAAGTCTTCAAAAAAGTTTCCTTCTTGAAATATGCATGAACATAATCTTTAACCCTCGCTTTCTGAAAAAATATGGCAGCTACACCATAGGGACAAAGGATTTCAGTCAAGTCCCACTTAAAGCATGTGCATGTTCTATTCTCTAAATTCACTACATACCCATCCCCTCCATATCTCACTTCAAACTCAACACCTCCTAACCATGTAGGTATCCATACTCTGGATTTTAGCTTCCTCTTTTCAACTTTGCATTGTAGGGCCCTTTGTACTTCAGCATTTTGTCCCTACATTGATGTATCCTCACCATCAACTTCTAATCATCTCCATCATGGTAAGGATGTGTTTGTCCCTAACTTGTAGCACCCATGAGTTAAAAAATTCAAAGATATTGTCCTAAAGCCTATTGGATTTGGTACTTGGACTAAACCCATGCTTAAACCATTGGACTAGGTTCACTCTAATCATCTGATCATATGCCTTACTATCTAACCCCTGCAGCTTAGTCATGTGCCTATCTCATTCAACCCTTGTGTATGATTTTGTTGCCTTCCAAACACAATCCTTCAACTCTTTCGCTTTAAACAACTTCTTAAAGTTTGCATACAAATGTCTGAAACAGAACCTGTGATTGGCTTTAAGGCATACCAATCTCAAGCTTGGAACAAGTCCCTACCACCAAAAAAAAAAAAGAAAAAGAAAATATCATAGACAAACAGCTAAATGACAACATTATTTCAAATGACATAATAATAAGATTATTTTAAAATATAAGAAATACATAAAAATATTTACCTTCTGTTGATCGGTCATAAATGTCCATCCATGTTCTTCAATTGGTCCAATATCTTGTAACAAATTTTGCAAAAACCAAGTCCAGCTCTCCTTACACTCTGCCTCAACTACAGCATAAGCTATTGGATACATTTGATTGTTTGCATCCCATCTAACAACAGTAAATAACTGTCCTTGGCAAGGTCCTTTCAGAAAACAAGCATCCAACCCAATTAATGGTCTCACACCAGATAGAAACCCCCTTTTAATTCCACCAAGGCATACATACCTTCTCTAAAACCTAGGTTTAACTTCCAATTAAGACCTCTACACAGTTATGTCAACATTAGTACCCTCATTGGTTCTTCTCAACTCAGCAACATAATCCCATAGCCTACTATATTGTTCAGCATTGGTTCCCTCAATCTGCTGAATTGCTCTCTTTTTAGCTCTATAAGCTTTCATTGTTGACACACATACAACAAAAAACATCTTTGATAGTTTCCTAGAACTCATTCAGTTTCCATGTTGGACTGGTCCTAAATTTTTTGACATACTTCTCTAGCAACCAAGAACTAGTAATTCATCTATTCTTATAAGTTCTAGAGCAAGAGTGTTTAGGTTAATATGTTTTTATCTGCAAAGTGTTCTCTCCAATCATCTTGGATGCATACAGTCTCTATTTACACCCATCACTACAGTTCACTTGAACCTTCCATTTTTCACTTTTAGTAAACTTCACATCATACCCCATATCCCTCCCTTTTACTGCATATTCCTTGACAGCATCTTTGAATTCATTTTCAAAACTAAACAACATTCCTAGTTTGAATTCAATGTTCTATATATCAACCTCAGGCCTAAATTCAGGGCACTTAGGTCTTTGTTGTTATCCTCATCATTAGAGCCTGTAGGGGTAACTAGTTCTTCCTCAAATGAATCTCCATCATTCACTTCACACTCATGATAATCTTTAAGCCCCCTTCTTTGTTGACATCTCTCTCAACATTAGTACTAAACATAACGTCATCAAGGTCAGGATCATCATCATCACTACTATCTGAGAAATCTCTGTCTAATGGGTCATCATTGCCATCACTGTTACTATTTGAGTCCTCTTCACACTGATCATTATTATCATTTCCATCATTTTCCAAATCCTGGATAGGCAAATCAGTAAGGAGTAACACAGGTCGAGCAATATCTACATTATGTGGCTTATGATGCTCAATAAACAACTTTAAGATACTTTTATTTCCCAAATAAGAAAACATTTCCATAATAACATGATCATTAGCCAACACTCTTAACCTTAAGACTAAATCTTTCTTGCGAATCTTATAGAAAAAATGCTTGCAATTAAAAGCACCCTACTCTTTCAACATGCAGTTGATCTCTAGGATAGATAATTTATCAACATCAACTGCATCAAATACATCCACATTACCCCCAACATAACTCCTTTCATCATTCTCAATAAAGTAGCCACTGTGATGTATAATAACTTTAAGAAAAGTTCCCATTATTGCATCCACAAATAAACAAAACAACAACTATTGGTTCACTTTCAAAACAAAGCATATTAAAAAATAAAATAAAATAAAATTCCCTCATATAAAGCAACTTGGCCCACATATCTCAATCTATGGAGACAAAATATGATAGAAAGGCAAACACACAAAGTGATTAAAAAAAAAAGTGGAGACCATGGGACCACAATGTGTTCAGTGATACAGAGGCATGTATACATTCAGAGACAAAAGCAATGTCATAAAGCAATAAACAAGAAGTGTGCACCGACAATTGAGAGAAAAATGTCATAAACGAATAAAAAACAAGTCATTCATAGGATTAAAAAAAAAAGTATAGAACAACCAAAAAAACAACCCATTTATTACCTCTATCTCAAAGTTCAAAGCTTTTTGGAAAATCAACCATGAAATTCGTGCCTTCCTTCGCTGCGTGGCTTCAATCGCAAGTTAAATCACCAATTGTACCAAGTGAGGTGAATGGACGATGCCCTAAATCACAATGGGGGGTGTCTTTTGCCCTAAATCATGAAGATTAGGGCTTTGTTGCAGCATTTTGGCACCCAAATCAATCTTCCATTAACTAATAGAGACGGAGATGGATGGGGGGATTAGATTGAAACATGGGTAGAATGATGGGGTTTAAATTGTCGAAATTGAAAACTTGGGATTTAAATTGAAAAAGACGTGAAACCCTAAGATTTTTTTATAATTAATTCAAAACTTAGTGATACATACAAATATAAGTTAGGACCTAATGCGTAATAAGTTTAAAAAAGAGGACTGACTGATAGATTACCTTATGATATATTAGTTTGAAATTTATGTGGATTTTCCTTTTGGGTCACGCATCTAACAAAGATACAACGGACACAATTTTTCCAGATTTTCGCAACTAAGTGTGTAAAAATGGCCCACGACCAAGGGTGGGCCTGGCCCAGTTAGGCCCAAGCCCAAGCCCAGCCCGGGACCCTGGGCCTGTGCCGTCATTTTGAAGCTCAACTCGGCCCGTGGGCCAGTACCGCCTAGCCCGGGCCATTGGCCTACTCAAGGCCCACTCAAAGCCCGTCCTGAGGCCCAGCCGGCCCTGAGACCTAATGTCAGGCCCACTTAGCCTTGGCTCAAGCCCGATCCTAGACCTAGGCCCAATCTGTTGGCCCACCCAAAGCCCAAATACCCCCTGGGCCTGGGTCTAGGCCTTGGCCTAATTTTCTGACCTGTGGGCCTGCTCAACCTGGCCCGGCCCGAATTTTGATGGGAGTCTGTGCGACCCAACATGCCAGCCTGAGCCTAGGCCTGGATGGGCCTAGCCAAATTTACACCCTTATTTACAATGGGCTTTTTTTTTTTTGTCATCTTTTGCAATATGAAAATACATAAAGATGCAGAGAATTTTTTTTATTTATTTTATTAATGAAATTAATTATTGTATTAATTTATGACTTCAAAATCTGTTTGTTAAAGAATCATTTTATTAAAGAAAATCAATTTATCAAAGTTTTTTTTTTTTTCAATCCTACTTATGTACCAATTATTTTAAGGAAAATTTATTTATAAATCTCATCTTGAGAAATGGTAATCCGTTTAGTGGTAAGAATTTTTTATAGACCAATTAGTCTCATTCATTTTGGAAAGGTATATTTAATATATTATTTAAAAATTGAGTTTACGATTATACCCTTATTTCTATTATATTTCCCTCTATGTTTTTTTTTCTTTTGTGCTAGAAGGTAAGACACACAACCTATGAAAATCAAATTTAGGATGAATTTTTATATGTGAATCTTTTTTATTTGGAATGACTTGAAATGTGAACATTCCAAAAGAAGTACAAAAAAACTCCTTAGTGTATTTTTCTCAAACGTAACACTCCAATATAATACTCCAAAAAAAATTTAGTTTAACACTCCAATGTAACACACACAAAAACTCTTTAGTGTATTTTTTCCAAATGTAACACTCCAATGTAATACTCCAAAAAAAATGTGGGATTCTTCAAACCATTCCAAAAGGAATACGAAAATTCCTTAGTAAGTTTTGGGCAAATGTATAATTTCAAATTGTGTGTTACGTTTGGGAAAAAAAAATACTTATGAGTTTTTTAGTGTTTTTGTTTGGAAAAAGTACATTAAGGACTTTTTTTTTTAGTGTTACATTGTTACGTTTGAGAAAAGTATATTAAGGAATTTTTTTGTATGTTACATTGTCATGTTTAGAAAAAGTACACTAAGAAATTTTTTTGTATGTTACATTGGAGTGTTACGTTATTGGAGTGTTATATTAGAGTATTATGTTCTTATTTGTAATGTGAAATTTATTCCATGATGAGGAAAAATTCAAAACCTCTTTAGTATGGATTGTCCAAATGTGTAATTTTACATTTGGACAAACCTATTTTTATCCCTCAAAAATTAAATACAAACGTGTAAGTAACTACCTTTTTATGTAATTTCCACTTTAATAGGACCTTTGAGTTCGCAAGAAAAAATAAATGATTAAATAGTTCACAAAATCACATTTTTTTATTTATTAATGTTTCAGCCTTTTTAAGTTAATTTTTTATAAACCATTTAGTTATTTAAAAGACAAAAAATCTCAATTTTAGACTTAATAAGAAAAATGGAAACTAAATCAATACTTTAGGAGAAAATCACACTAGTTAAACACTTATCCTATATTTCACTTATCAATACTTATCTTTCTCTTCATATATATATATATGTGTGTGTGTGTGTATACATATAATATTGTGAATTTCAAATAAGTTGAAAATGTAAACATTCATAATTTCAATAAATAAAATAATGTGTATTTTTAAAACAAAAGTTGTAAATATAAATATTCACATTTAAAACTGTTACATAAAATGTAAGTGTCAAAGTATCATATTTTCAATAAATTTACTAAAACATCATAACGGCAGCACTTTTTTAACTGAAAATATAAATTATCAAATAAAAAGTGTAAATATTCATATTATGAAAATTATCAAATTATGAATTTTCACACTCTTTACAATGTGAAAAATATTATTAAAAAAAAATCACAAAAGAAAAATTTAAACGGAAATCAAAATGCAATGCGAATGTTCACAGTAAACAACAAATATACAACTATTCTTTGAAAAAACAAAACTCATACTAAAATAAAATATAAATGTTTACAATTTACAACTAACATACAACCTGTCTTAAAAAAAACTAAACTCATACCAATGTGAGCATTCACTCTACAACGTGAAAACACGAAACAAAATTGAAAAAAGTAAAAATTGACTATTCTGATTGTTCAATGGCAACAGAAACGACTATCCGACCAACAAGCATAACAAGAAACAATATATAATAAATATCAAACAATTCATATATATTGATGCACCTTTTCACCCCAAAAAAATCTGTAATACTGGCAAATAAATTACACAATACCGGTGACTATATAAACCGACAAATAAACTACAATTTGTGTGTGATAGTGGCAAAAACTCAAATGTCTATCACTAGACTACCATCATCTCCATCACAAGTCCACCATCATCTCTATCGCCGGTCTACAACTAGCCCCATCTTCTTAATGCTCTTACATAGCAGGACCTTATTGCAAAATAATGATGAACAACTAATAATATCGCATATTCTATGTATAATATTTTATATATGTTATAAATAAAGTGTATAATAGTTGATCCTCTCTCTCCCCCCTACATACATGGTATACATATATATATACATTATTAAAAACTTATAGGGGTAAAAATATCTATAAAAAAATCTCAAATATGGGAATTAGAATTTAATGGATCAAATTTTCAAAATAATAGGACTTATTGAAATATAAAAATATCTTTTGGACTAATTGAAATATAAGTATTTGAAAGGGGATATACCACTAAATTTACCATTTATTAATATAATTTTATTATAACTAATTGGTGAAAAGTTCATTCTTATGGAATCATATATTATTGAAGGTTTAATCTTTTTTTGGTGATAAGGAAACACAATAAAAAGTTGATGATGCCAGAAAAGTAACTTGAAAATTGGCTTAGAAAGGTGGACAAATGGGTGACATGGAATAGATACGTGAATAGATAGATAACATGTGTATATGTAGATAATATTTGAACAAATAATTGAAACAGATAGGTGACATTTGAACAGATATACATTCTTTTGGACATGTAATAATTTTTTTTATCAACAAAGATTTAAATTTGAACCTATCCACCCAACAGTTTCAGAAATAGACTTTTAACTTCAATGCCCTTCATAATTTTATTTCTTTAGTATATAAATGGTCAATTTTGATAAATAAATAAAATAAAGTTAGTAATCACTTTATTTTTTTCTCTCACAATCTCTCAATTTTTGGACAGATTGAAAAGTGTGTTTTAAAAGAAATCATATTCTCTCTATTTCTTTTCGATTTTCTCCGACAATCAGAATTAATGGATCAATTTTCTTTTTCATTTTTGTTTTTCGATTTTCTCCGACAATCAGAATTAATAGATCAATTTTCTTTTTCTTTTTGTTTTTTTAATGCATTTTCTACAGGTGAAGGATTCCGGGAAAGTTGCTGCAAACCATATCCACTCTCCCAGAAGAACTCAATATACATGCAGACGTTAAAAACATGGAAAAATTACACCTTGTTTTTTTATATTTGGTCACCTTCTCACTTTGACTCTTAAAATTTATACTTTCCTATTTTGACATTTTATGTTTCAAATTTTTTTTAGTTTACTTATAAAGTTAGTTTCTGTTCAAGATTAGAGAGAAAAATAACAAAAAAAAAAAAAAAAAAAAAAAACTTTAAGAGCCAAAGTAAAAAATAGCCAAACATAAAAAAGACAAAATATAATTTTCTCTAAGCCCTTGTTTGGCATAGGCTAGAATGAGATTGAGGCTAAAATAATCACAAAAAGACAAAATAAACTAAAAAGTTAATAAGATAAAATATCACATCCAAACCATAATCATTTCATTTTTTTCTCTCACAAAAGTCAAAAAACTTAACCTAAATGAGTTTTTTTTAGCCCTAGATTAAAATAACTAAAAAATCAAAAAATCAACCCATATCCCAAACAAAACATAAATACACTGGCTTTACAACTAAATAATAATAATAATAATCAAAGTTCAAAAATAAATTGTGTTCTCTCGCCAATAGTGAAATGCCTCTATAAACAATAGTGGCGCATTGTCTTCTATGAAATTTGACATTGTGTCTCGCGAGCTCTTATGGGTGTTCATAAATAGTTAAATTTATCATGATGACAAACTGTTCTACAGAATAATATAATATCTGGTGTTCTTACATCATCAAATGGCAAATACTACTTTTGCCAAAAAAAAAAGGAAAAAATGTCCAATACTAATGATCAAATTTGAATGGTGATCTAAATGAAGAATATAAAGACGTTTCCTTGAGGGGTCCAAATAATTACACCTATACAAACCCTAATAGAGTTTGAAAAATCATTCGAAATAATAGGGACACCCTTTTCTAAAATCATGTCAATGCCAAAGCTTCAAGCAAAACCCCGATGGCACAACAGAAGATCTCTTGCTTGAAATCACTTCAGAGAAAGTATCTACAAGCTGCCCCGCTAGAGATGCCGGATCATCAACAAGAGTATCGACAAACACCTTCACAACCCTCATTTCCTGTGGTGTCGCTCTCAAACTGTACCACGTCAGAAATTTCTGCCTAAACGTTGTCTCAATATGTCCTTCACATTCCAACCATCTGATTACTTTCACATAATGCTCGAAATCCCTATCACCGTTCCCAGAATGGTCTTTATCTTGTCTTTCGCTACTTCTCTTCTTTGAAGAGCTACCAGCTTGGGGCTCCTCTTCCCTCCCAGAACCACTATCCACATCCTTGTCCTTGGGTTTGCATCTCCCATTTCTTCCCAACCCGTCCTTGAAATTTTCCAACTTGCAAGGTGTAACGGGCAATTCAGCTTCTGAGCTACCTACAAACGGCACACATTCCACGCCTGTCTGGACATGGGTATTTGACCCATTGTCTGTACTTGCCTCCTCAACCATTTGGCCTTCTCCTGAGCACTTGTTCTCAATATTCAACTCACTTGAATTCAGGGTCAAGTTAACTTTCCCGGTGCCACCTTCCTCATCCAACAAAGACACAGAATCTCCCAAATTTCCAACATCACTCGATATTGCAGAAGCAATTTTGTCTGTGTTCTTGATTTCATTATCAATGTTATTAGTTTCATCCTCCACAGAAGAAGGATTAGATAAACCGCTACAGTTGGTCACTGGACTTTCACTTTCACTTCTTTCAACTGCCAAGTTCAGTTGATTGGGCAGTTCATTCTCAGCACTGTCTGTTCGAACCTGAATTTCACACGTCCCCAAAACTCTAGTGCTATCAAAGAAAACGACTTTGATAACATACTCTGTAGCTGGACTTAGACCAGAGAGTAAAAACCTTGTATTTGGGGTAAACATACCCGATGGTTCTGATGGGTAGTCCATATTTTCAGCTCTACGATGCCACAAGGTATAACCCGCAACATTTCCTAGTTCCAGATCATTAGAACCAAATACTACCATAACAGATGAAGTGCAGACATCTTCAATCTGGATTATGTTTGAAGCTAACAAATTGGATTCTGCAAATATTAAAATCCCGTGTTACAGTTCAATGGTTACTACTTCAATTTTCATAGTTTGCTCCAAATAGGAAAAGAAAAAGAAAAAAAAATGATGATACACATCTCATGGGAGAAATTTATGAAGGTCAAAAGACGGTACTACAATAACATACAAGTCATATATATGTTCAAGGAGCGGCAGGTTTAAGTGCCAACTTGTATAACAAGATATCTGGACAACCGGGAACTCCACTATTTAAAAATTTAAGTGGTTAATTACACTAGACCCCTCAATTATGAACACAAAATTTTGACCACCTCAACTACAAAAACAATACGAATGCCCCCCTTCTAGAGGGGGTAGAAGTAAAGCATTTTTATAGTTTACAAGGTGTCAAAATATACGGGTTTATAAATGAAAGGGGTAAACTGGATTTGCTAATAATTGAGAAGATTTTGGTGTAATTAACCCAAAATAAAAATCGAGTCTGAAAGCACAAGTTAGCCAATCCTCTTATTACATAGGTCAACACTTTTTATCTTCTATGGAAAATCAATCAATAGTGATGTTGCCACAAAGTGCTAATGAACAAAGCCTGACCTTCAATCACATGATCGGATGACAAATGACGCACGGTTTTGGAAAGCATCGAATCTAGGGACTCCACTGCACAAGCGCATAGTCTTTGAACCTCTGGACCCGAAGAGAGTCTGTTGACAATACCCCTAGCCATCTTCACAGGTAAACCAGTTAAATGACCCACATCTGCTTCAAGCTTCTTTACTGCTTCATCCACAATTTCATAAAGTTTTTTGTAACATTTGGTACCAGCAAGAAGCTTTTGGCTCAAGGAAACACGATAGCACAATATATCAACACGCCTGGTATCCTTAGCCATCATCAGTTGTTTTCTCCAGCATCTACACAATTTAAAGAAGTCAAAACAATGAGATCATTTTGCACTTCTTTGTTGAGCAATCTATTATGAAACAATGTGATGAATCATCTACACTTCAGTGAAACCTTTACATGAATTTCACATCAACTTAACCCAATACAGCTTTGTTCCAACTCTTTGATAAGAAAGCTTAAGCCCCAAATCAATAGCCATTACTCCAATGACTAAAATTCAGTAGAACAGGTTGTTTTCAAACTCAAATTGAGAGAGAGAGAGAGAGAGAGAGAGAGAGAGAGAGAGAGAGTCTTGTCTAACAACTTCAGACAGTCATATATGAACAACCAAGTGGTGCGGCAAGAAAATAAGATAAACATGAGGTAGGTGGTGCACTATGAGTAATAAAATAAAACAAAATAAGAAGTTAGATTTTATTGACAATCATTATCCTTTCCATAGACAACCATATAAGCAAAGGTACTACGTACAGAGAGTCAAAGAACTGCATCAAAGACTTACCAGAATCCCACCTAAATCCGGCAAGCGCATGGCTTATAAGGGCAACTTCCAAGTGATACAATATTCAAGAAATATGAGCACAGGCGTGTGTGTGTGTGTGTGTGTGAGAGAGAGAGGGAGAGATTGAGCAAATTTGCAAATTTAAAGCAAGTCAAGTGACCCTCACCGTAACACACTAAACCTCAACTCAAGAGATCACATTTTCAATCAGAGGATGCTCATTGTCAACCTCAATTTAAATGGCCTTTTTTTGATTGCATAAAAATTTAGGTATCACAGTTTGCAGACAGATTAAATTTAACATAGCTTCAGCAATGTAATATTCATGGACCTTGGGTGCTGTTGAGTATAAAGATCAACCTCAAAATCACACCAAAAATAAGTAAAAAATTTAAATAAAAACTTAAATTAAAAATTGAAAATTGGCAGCAATATTAATATTTCGAAAATATAAACTATGTGAACAGGGGCACAAAATGCAAATGAACAACAGAAAAGCATCTGACTGAATTTTCACCAAGAAGAGCCCTTGCCACACTAGGGCAACTGGTTCTTATTTCCCACTTGAGCACCTTTCAGGCAAGCAATAGCATTTCGACTCTCAGACAGCTCAATCAAGACTTACCGACGGAGCCCAATTGAGCAGCTTTTAAAGCTTTGCTGGAGTGGCTCATGATCAAGAGCACCTCCAGATCTGCAAAATTGTTTTCATCTTTTTGCATGCTCCATGACTTCCAAAGCCAAACCTAGATTTCCAACACTTGGGCAATCCTATAACCACCTTTAAAAAGCATTGAAACACACAAGTACATAATAAAACCCAAATAGGGTATATAGTTCCATTTGTATCTCATACACAAACCAACCTTTGTAAACATTTTTACAATCTTGTATATCTCATATACATGAAAAAAACACCATGAAATAGAGAAGACAAACAATGATTTTGCAAACCCTTAATCCAAGACAAAATTGAAATCCCAAAACTAATCCAGTTTTAATCTTATTAAAACATGCCACCACCAAAGTTTCAAAAAGCTTTACTGAGACTCGCCTCGACGCTCGCCTCAAGGTGAGGCTAAGGCAAAATGCCTCAAGGCTTTGATTTTTAGGCTTTACTCCCCAAAGGCTTGTGTACACAGTTTGAGACATGAGTCGTAGGTGCGCCTTATACGCCTTTTCGCACAAGCATGTGAGGAGTACGCATATGAAGTGTTTGTCTTAGGTTCCTGTTAAACTTAGTCTAGCAGATGGTTTAAACATAAAAAAGGTAAAAAATAAAAAAGAACCCCTTTCACAACAATATTTTATAAGAAAAATTAAGTAAATGACCAATCAAGAAAAAATAAATAAATAAAGTTAATGCTCAGTGGGAAGCTCAATCACTAAAGCTAAGAATTCCAATTTCACTTTCAATAAAAAAAAGCTTCATTCTCTGCAATAAGCCTTGAGTAGAAAAGTATTTACACCTTCATATTTAATTTTGATATATTTATTTATTGTTTTAAAATATCTAAATTATTTACTAAATATAAAAATTTAGAATTTGAAATGCTTACGCCTCAACACCTTGAGACTTACGCCTCGCATCATGAGGGATAAAACGCCTCACATTATGCATTTGCCTTTAAAAACTTTGGCCACCACAACACTACAGCTGCATCATTTCGTCTTGAAAGTTCATCATTGTTCAATTTCGAAAACATAGCACCCAATATTGTAATGGTTTATTTGGCAAAGTGGAAAGTAGGGAGGAAGAAGAGGGGAAATATTTCCCTTTTGGGCCCACAAAAAGTTGTTCTCCAAAAAATAGAAGAGACAAGAGAATGAAAGAGCTTGTATGTTTAAAAATGTGCGTTTAACTGTTTTTTTTTTTTGGCAAGTATGCATCCAACATTTTATCCCCCAAAATTAAACAGGCTTATTTATAAAATGAGGGCATAAGCGTAAAAAAGCCTAACAGATTAAAGAAACTCTTTCCTCTCCCTCCTACCAAACTACAAGGAAAGCTCAATCCCTTCACTAGGGATCTACTTCCCTTCCCTCCTACTTTCCATTCTTCCCACCAAACAAAGTGTAAGAAACATGAGATGATGAGTTAATAACATTACAGAGAAAGAAAACATATGCAGAGCAAATGAAATAAAGAGGAACTGCAAAAGAAAGAAACAAACTTCTTAAGAACCCAGACTCAACTAGGCCTTTTAACAAATCAATGAGACAGACGGCTAAACAGCAGTATACATGAATCACATTTGATTCTGAACATCCATTGTTTAGATTAAAAAACCAAATTCCTATGAGGAACTTAAAAGATTGAACCAATATGCTACGACCCCCTCAGTCCATTCATACAAGCAAGACATAGTACTTGTCCTCCACTGTTTGGCACATCTCTGACCTTCCATAGTAAGTAGTTAGTAAATCAAATCAATTAGCCAAGACATTTATACATCTAACTGAAATACAATCTAGAGTAGACCCTCACTTGTGTTAATCCCTACCAAATCTGCTTTCACTGTGTTCAATGCACTTTAACTTAAAAACTCACTCCAAAAAAAAATAACAAATAAAAATAAAACAAAAGCCACCAAAAATATCATGCGGTATGTATCATTTTTCCCAATACAGGCAGGCTCTAAAACAGAACTATGATCACTTAGGACCTGTTGTTCAGGTAAAATGCAACGATACACAGAAATTCATGAGAAAAAATAATAATCAGAATCAGAATCGCCGAAAAATGCAATAAATACATTGTAATTATACTAGCAATAAAGTAAACAAACTCTCATTCATGTTAGAGTTGTTAATTTTAAGGGTAACTTGAAGACACCACCCAGCTAGCCCCAAATACCTTTACATGTTAGTATGCTACAGAGGTTTCATAACCTAATGCAGTGACGGATTTCATTTTCTCACCAACTCTGACAGCATCACAGACATTAATATCACTACCAGATCATTTAGAAGTATCCAAGGATTTGAAAATGCAAGAAGACATCTCAGCAAGAAAACATATAACTTTCATGAAATGGTACAATCTATCAAAGATACTAAGAAACAAAACAATGTACAGGAGCAAGCAAGGTGGGAAATTACCCAAGCAAATCATTCACTTTCCCGCAAGACAAACAACAAAACCTTCCATCCATCCCATCTTTTGCAATCCCAGATTTTTCATGCCTCAAAGCGCATTCCAAATGACATGACATTCCACATGCATCACCTTGATAGGGAGGCTCCGAGTTGCAAGTTAACCATAAGCTAGGATCCTTGTTGTCATCATACTGATGACAAATACAACATGAACATCTCTTGCAAAATGCATCTTGTTGACTTAATTTAGCTCTGCAAGCTGAGTTTTTGCAGTATATAGTATTACTTATATCACTTTCATCATTGTTTACTGCAATAGAAAGTCGATTCGGGTTGTCAATTTTCCTCTGCCTTTTGAAAGCCCTTTGCCCAACTGCAGGCGAAGAATGTGGATCGGAGCTTGTTTCCATTTCATGCCCTTGTGATTTCTTCTCAGCTACTATTTTTAGGAGGATCTCTATGATCTTCAATTTTGTCAAACCAGTATATTTCCTTTCTTTTCCCATCTCGGCACATAGTACCTGCAGAATCTCCTGTCGGCTCCACGATTGTAGCATTTCGGGGGCACCATGTGACCACTTTGACAGTTCATAAACAAGTTCTCTCTTTTCCTCCATACTCAACTTACTGCATTTTGATGGATCAAGCACCACTCCTGTTGTTAAAGAAAATAGAATTACCACAACTGTATAGTAGCTCTGAAGGATGAATAATCCCAAGACAATTAACAATTAAATAAGAATAAAGAAATAGAATGAAAATACTTAAACGGAAGAGGGGAAAAGAAATTTTCCATTAAATATTTTTTATCACTTCCCCATTTAAAATGAAATGTTCCATCCCAATCATATCAAAAAGAAGTGACCAGAAAAAATAATTTAAAGAAAGCACGATGTTTTAATTTATTGACTATTCTCAAGTGCAGGACAACTGTGAGAGTCAGTTTTATAATTCATATCTGCTTTCTTTTTCAATTGCCGTGGATGGTTAGTAATTCAACAACTCGGATGAAAAGCCACACCAAACTAAATTAAATAAATTAAATTAAATTAAAGATTGACTTACAATGACAAAGAGATCCCAACAATGTCAAATATAGTCGGATTATTATAGGGCAGCCACATAAAATCGGGCAAATGAAGTCACTATCTAAAACTTTCGTAACAGATTAAAGAAGCATGAAGCATAAATATACTTCATTTGACTTTGCATTTGCAATTCCCATGAAGGGCTGCTAAAAGGGTTAATTATGTAATGACACCCCCAGAAACCACCAATCCATCAAATAATATAAACCTTTACTTATAGTAAATAAGTAAGAATTTCACATTATGATAACGAATACTAATAAGCTGAGAAAGATTTCAATCTGCATAACCCGCCAAAGATTTGATGATCAAATTTACCCACCCAGAAACAATTGGATAGCAATTATGAAATGATTAATGCCACAAAAAAAGGGCAATCTTAGAACCTAAAATCAATACCTCATAAACCAACAAAATCAAATGAAACCCAAATCATTTTTTTGATCAGCAAATGAAACCCAAATCATTAAAATCACAAATCAATACAATACTCATGAAATATGACTAATAAATAGATCAGCTAAAGCTTCAAGACCCATCACCCAAAGACCTTCAAAAGATTCAACCGTGTGCCCGGAAAACAAAAGCTAATGATATCATCAAAGTTCATTCACTAGCAAGTATAACCCACAAAAGAGAAAAAACAAAGAGAGAGAAAATAATTAAAAGAAAAAATCAAGAGGGTTACTATTACCCTCAAAATAAGAAGAACCCATAGCTGTTGTTGAATAACTAAACCACTTTCACCACCACATTACCACCAAAGCCCAAACTTTTCTATACCTGAAACAGACAGATCAGGTAAAAGGTGAATGAAAATATGTGTTAAAAAACAAAGAAAGCATATGAGAGAGAAAGAGAGAGGAGAATACAAATACCAAGAAGAGTGGCGAGAAATTGTGCCACTATGAAGGGAATCCATGACTAAGCTGGGTCCTCAACGTGGGCTTTTCAAGACCCCGGAGCAGCGAAAGGAGAGATTCTAGGAGAGGAGAGAGAGAGAGAGAGAGAGGATATGAGGAGACGGAAAGAGAGAGAGAGAGAGAGAGAGAGAGAGGTGGATAAAGGGAAAGTACCAAAGAAAGAAATAAGGCCAAGCAAAGCAACAGAGGGGCAAAAGCGGCGGCATGTCATCTTTTTCACCCTCTTCCTCAAAGTTGAGGAGATTCATTCAATATTAATTTCTTTTTCTTTTTTTAATTTCATTTATATATATAATTATTTTTTTATATTTACTAAATATAAAAAATTTAAAATTAAAATAAGTAAATAAATAAAGACAAATTTTAGGAACTGCCCGCATTATATATATAATTATTTTTTTATATTTACAATATATTTAGTGAATATAAAAAAATAAAAAATAAAAAAAAGACAAATGTTAAGAACATCTCATGAACATTGTTTAATGTTAAAAAATATATAAATAATCTATTGAAAATATGTAAAAATATTATAAAATGTATTGATTTTAGTAAAAGTGCATTAAAATTAGTAAAAATTATATTGTGTTCTTCAAATATTTTGTCTTTTAAGATGTGTTTGGTTGGGAGACTTGGGAAGGAAATTGAAAATAGAAAAAAAAAAAGGTAGGTAAAATATAAATAAAATATATTTAGTTTTCACTTAGTTTCACATATTTTTTTTTTCTTTTCCAAATCTCTTTTTAAATATCTCAACCAAACACAGTTTTGCTTGTGCCTTAAGTGCACTTGATAGTAAGACCCCAAAAAAATGTGGAATAATTACCAATAGGACTTATTGATTAGACTTACTTACTCATAAATTCTTAATATTTTTTTGACAATTACAAAAAAAAAATTAAAAATAAATACCCATGATTTGAGCTTTTGCAATAAAATAAACTCTAAATTTATAATTTTGTCAATTTAAACTCTAATATTTTAATTTATTTTCAATTTAAGTCATTCGTCTATTTTTGTTAAGTAAAACCGATGAAAAAAGTATTTTAGCCATTAAACCTAATCTAGGTATACATAAAATGTCTAAAATATTATTTTTATTGATTTTAATAATTAAAATACTCATTTTTTTCATTAATTTTACTTAATGAAAATAGGCAAATTATTTTGATTTCAAAAAATCAAAAGCTTAGGGTTTAAATTGAAAAAATAAAAAATTAAGGTTTATTTTATTATAAGGTTCAAATCCTCAGAGTTTTTTTTTTTTTTTCTAATTTCCCCCTTTTTTATGTATTTGTATGCCTCTCATTTTGATAATGAAAATTTTTTGAAACTTTTTAGATGTGTTTTGTTTTATAAAATGATCATTTAGTATTTGTAATTGTTTTATAAAATGATCATTTAGTATTTGTAATAAATGATTTGGACATTTTTTGTTTATGAATTTTAATTTATTTGTAGTAAATTCTATCACTACAAGAAAAATCACCTTTGGCGATTAAATTTTTAGTCGCCAAAAGTCGACTTTTTAGTTTTCCCGACTAAAATTTTTAGTCGCCGCTTTTGTCGCGAATACATGATCGGTGAAGGTATTAGCGACTAAAACTTTTTTAGCCGGCAAGAAACAGGTCTTTAGCGACCAAAGTTTTAGTCGCCAATAGTGATTTACACTTTTGAAAATCATACATTTACAACTTGTTTGATTGGACGAACTGGATAAGGGAGGAGTAGAATCCATCGAATTTGAGTTCTGGGACTGTGAATCCCCCGGACTATTTGGTTGAATTGGATATATATCCTGTGTTTATTTTTTCATGGAATTTGATGTCTGGAAATGACTATTTTTAGTGAATCCAACGTTTAGTTGGACGGACTGGATAAGATAAATGAACAAAAGACTATTTTACCCCTTTTCAATTATTTACTAAGTAATAGCAATATTAAACATATCTTTAATATTTTAATTATTTTTAGCTAGATTAAATAAAAATTTATTTTATTTTATTTTTACACAATTAAATAAATTTATTTTTTAAAAATTAAATAAATAAAATATCAATAAAACTAGGGAGAGACTTATTTATAAGTCTTTTTTTCAGACACTTATGCTAGGCTAAGTCCTGTGTAATTTTTTATAGAGTCTCAAGTCCTATTTAGATAGGAATGTATTCCACAAGA